AAAACGTGGACTTTTCTTCACTGAACGCAAACGCAAGATGAACTTCACTACGCATGCGCTATCTCACGGGATCTCGAATATGCAAATGAGGAGGTAGAATCCGAGTTTGATCGAACACAACAAAAACATGGCGGATGAAGAAGAAAAACCTGAACATGAATCTTATAAAGACAAGAAACTGAAACTACAACGGTAATATCCATCCACCTGCTGATTTAAATTATTCCTAACATAAAGCCATTATTTTTTAACCACACAATTTTATTTTATTTCGCTTTTAATCTAAAACTATGTGGTCTTTATGGTGAATATTATCATCCACAACTGACATTTCATTCTTGTCATATTTGATATTTTAGAGTTTTATGTCGAATTTGTTTCCTCGAATTATGTGAATAATTAGTTTTTATTGCCAGCATTTATCGTATTTTTATTAATTTCTAGCTATAAGGAAGAGATATATAAAGTTTGGAATATAGTAGGCGAAAAAGTAAGTAAAAGATTCTCGGTAATGATGGTTTTTACCACGGAAATATTTCACGTTTGAACACCATTATTATTATTGATAACTAGAACTAAGGTGTCAAACATTCTTGCGTATAATTAAAGAAATGCTTTGGTTTATTTATTGAATTTAATCTTATAAATATGCCTACGAATGATGTGCTATTATTTTTAAAATTTAATCGTTAGAGTTTTTCATATTGATGGATTGCAAGCATTCCAAAGAGAGTCAAAAGACAGAAACATGGTGGGCATTGGGGTGCAATTTACAATGAATGCTAAGGAGAAATCTTTTGTTAAATGGCACCAACATGGCCACCATGACATAACGTGCTATCGAAGAATAGCTTACATTCACTCTAGGTGATCAACCCCTTTTTGGAAAGGGGAAGAGGGAAAGAGCCATGGAAGGGAAGGGTGTCTCTTGGGTCATCCTTGGGTACCCAGAGGTAGAATTCTGTCACTCGTTTCTCAACAGATTTTCACCCCTGAGCTCCAAAAGATGCTCTTGGGTGAAAAATAGATGACAATAAGCGAGTGTTATTTATAGGGTGGGAGGGGGCTATGGGAATTTGGAGGGGGCAGCAATTTTCTCTTGTAACAATTATTAGAGGGGAGGGTATTAAAAATATGAAAAAAATATTATTGATATTTAGTGTCTATACTGAAAGTCTGTAGTATGAGGGGGGTCAATGAAAATTTGTTACGTGGGAGAGGGGGGGGACTTCCCAAAATATTATTTCAAAATGTAAAATCCACATCCCCCCCCATAGTCCATGAATTAAAAATACTCTGTAAATCATGTTTTGCTATAGGGGAAGCTGTAGTAGCCAGTAGCTAACAAATCTATGCCCTTGTTCCTTGATTGAATTGAAATTTAGAAGTTAATTAGCAATAAGGTCATTTAGTAGTGCACCTCACATGTGCTTTCAACCTAGGAATTAATTCTTTTCATTTTTCATCGTACATCTGGTATTTGTTTTCCAGGGTTTTAAAGCTGCTAGTATCAGCCCTGAACATGTCAACATAATATTTTCAATTCTGAATTATGAGACTTCATTGGAACAAACTATACAGGACTCAAGTTGCAAAAGCATTGAATCCAAAAAGACACTTGATCACACATCATGGGATGAAGCATTCTCTATTGCTCTAAAAAGCTGTTCACGCATACTGAAATTACTGGTATCAACTGATCCTCATGAGGTAATTAAGAAATAGAAGACATGGGTCCATACTATATGTGCAGTTATGAAGCACTTAGGCAATGGTAGAACCTGAGAAAAGTGATAGAAGCATGATGCGAAGTAGAGTGCTTTTCCACCATTCTTGAGTGTTATTCAATTCTTTAGTGCTTTTTATTATATAGCTAGGATAGTTTGTGCATGCTGATTGGTCAAAAACTGTGCTTTATTAGTGAACGGAGTACAGTGCTGATGCAATCCGCATGCACGAAGTACTGCTAGATCCTGCGACTGTCTTTCTTTTTGCGTAAATAGATTCAATATTGATATAAAATCAGTAACTTTAATAATACAACTAATAAAACAGCTTTTTTCCGTGCTCTCTTCAGTAATAAAGCACTTAGGAAGCACCGTAAGCACTCAAAAAGTAAGAGAAGCACTCTTTTGTGATTATGTCACTTCCTGCATGCTTTATTACCAAATGGAGCACGGAAAAAAATGTTTTATTTGTTAAATAATAATTACTGCACACAACAGGTCAGCAACGATTCATTTCTTTCATAAAATACAAATAATTAAAGATAGCCTGTGAAATTGAAGTTGTGGGTATGCACCAATATGGCTGATTTTGAATTGTGTGGGAAAGTTTTTTTGAATTTCATCCATTTCTTTCAGTGCAAAGTAGACTCTCCTACGATCATAAAGAAGTTACTGGCAGTTATCAAGAGCAGGTAACTTAATCATTCTTTGAAAGGAAAAAGGAATGATCAGCAGAGTTTTAATAAGGGTCATGGATCAGAGAATGCTCTGGTAACTGAGTAAATTATCCAGCTTCAACTACCATGTGATGAACTCAAGCTTAAGCTGAGGAATTAAGTAAGAGAAATGAGCAGCAAATGAATCAGCAGCTGCTCCAGTGTCGCATAATGTGACAAGCCCTGTCAAACTAAATGTTAATATATCTTAAGCACTTGTGACATGATACAACCGATCAAACAAAGTTCGAGTCTCACCACTGAACACTAGAAAGCACTTGCTGAATCAGTCACTTTAGATGGTTGGGGGCTAGATGGGGAGGGGCATGATGACTGTAAACCATTGCCCTAAAAAACTGAAACTTCCAAACAATTAAGAGTCAAACCTAAATGTTGTATTGGGCTCAGTACAAGAGTAGAGCCACATATGGAACAGGCCTAATTGTAAAATTATTACTCGGGCTTTTCCGAAGGAAACCGCCGAGTTATAAATTAGGCTTCGTTTTTTGCATTCAGTCAAATCGCCGTCACGTTCACAGTGCATGCGTTGATTCTATGTAGTGCGCATGCGTTGTAGTATGCGCCGTAAAAGCACATGGTCGACAAGTAATGCGGATTGTCTCAAGGTCTTGTTGCAGACTGTGAATACTATGGAGTCTATGGATTTTCATGGTTAAAGAGAGCCCGAGTTCACGCAGTCATGCGTCTAGTTATATTTTTTCTCTCTGTTCTTTTGAAGGTCATCCTGCAGAGTACATAATTTTACTTACATTGTCAAAATTGTTGGTAAGATTGTTTTAGAATTGGTGATATAAATAATAGTACTTCGAAAAAATTTCCTTGGCATTATATCCTTAATATTTATTAAAATTGATAATTTAGAGTTTAGGCAGCAAAAAAAAAATTATTTCATATAAGGGGACCTTTACATGATTATGAAATATGTTTGTTCCGGAACCAGAATGAAATGTCATACCACTTTTACATGAAAAAAATTCACAGAATGAGATCAAGCTCGAAATGTCTGATACGCCTGCTTCACTTGTTTCAGTCTCCCCAGAGAGCAGTTTCATTCCGGAATGAGTGTTCATACCATGTTCACATGGTACCATATGGAATATTGTTTCGGAACAAGCATTTTGTTCCAGAATGAAAACTGGGATGAACCTCATGCTTGAATGACTCTTTCCGAAATAAAAATTTTGCTCGTCTCATGTAAACAAATACAATAGTTGAAATTAATGAGAATCATGATGGCTCGTTACTGAACGAAAATCATTCTGGTAATGTAAATGGCCCCTAAGATAGGTTATATATATTGCTGATATTTTGTATTATTCTGTTCAGATACTCTCACTTTACTTCTGGCTGAAGATAGTACCAATATACTGCAGGTAATAATGACAATGTCAATGTCATCCATCCATCCATCCATCCAT